GATATTTTTACAGAAAAAGCAGACCAAAGAAGCATACTGGCCACTATAGGTTTATCATATTTACAGTAAAAAATCAAACCACAGAAGCATACTTCTTCCATTTCCTTCTTCTGTGATGTCTTTGAATCTGATCTCCAGGCGATGTATAGTAATCGCAGCCCAAAGAATGCATACAGCACTGTGTGGAGTAGACAGAGGAAAGTTATTACTGTGAGATGCTCCAAACAACAAATAACAAACTCAAATTAAATACAATCCTGATTAGGACATTATTCAAAGAGTAGGGAAATAATCTATAAAGTGGACTTCACAAAGCAGTAATGACATGACAGAACAGAAAACAATGACATGATTGAACAGATACAAATTCTAATGAAATGTGATATGAAGAATATTCTCAGCCAACTGGCACTTGACACGTGGAGCTTTTTAAGCCAAAAAAATTGACAAAACAAGCCAGTGAGGTTTGCCATGTCAGCATAATCCTTGGGGAAAATATTCTCAGAAATCATAATTTTCTTATCCAGAGAATATGTCCCATAAGTGGTCAGGGACCCCTAGCTATAAATAGGGGCCTTTTCAAATTCAATGCAAGTTTTTTGACTCTCTATAAACCTTCTTTGACCTCCTCGGTCTTTCCAACCTCCAACAATTACTAACTTGAACATTGAGGGACCATGTCAAGTAAGCCCCACACAAGGTTTGCAAGTCTCGTCAAGGATCGCATCGAGAGTCAATCTACTCATCTAAGTCAGAGAAGCACCCCAAACAACCTCAGATCTCGAACATGACAAATTTTGAAAAAGTGTGCCAGTTCGCATCACTCTCAACACATTGGATAGACGATCATTTTTTCTTGACAAAATGTGATCCGAATTAGACCTTTAATCTAAGAATAGAAGAACATAGTACAAAATGAACTTCCATGCGCTGAATTTGTATTAGGCTAATATGTCTGCAATAAAAAAATCTATTTTGGTATCTTGATTAGAAGGAGGTTTTTGAAGTAAAAGAAATAATTGTGTCAGTTATAGATAATTGTTTGAGAATGTCAGTTGACTTTTCATCACACATTATGTAGGAAAACATGCATAGGCCAATAAACTATGCAGGAATGAAAATTTCTGAAGCAACATTATCTATGGCAATACTTCAGGCACTCAAAATGTACATCTAGAAAGAGCTTCTGATGTAGGACTAGCTCATGACATGCAGAGTCTAAGTTTTTTTTCTAATAAAGGAAGGAAAAGAGATACAAAGGGAAAGTTAATAATAAAAAGGATACAAGTGATAACAACTAAACTGGTTCTAGTCATAGAAGTAATACTCAGGATGAAGGTCTCACATATCCACACATATGTCAATACTTCAGGCACTCAAAATGCACATCTATAAAGAGCTTCTGATGTAGGACTAATTCATGACATGCAGAGAGTTTTTCTTTTTAATAAAGGAAGGAAAAGAGATACAAAGGGAAAGTAACTAATCCAAAAGATAATAGAAAAGTAATAACGACTAAACTGGTTCTAGTTTTAGAAGTAATACTCGGGATGAAGGTCTTGCATATCCACACATATTACATGTGCACAATAAATTCATACCATTAGGAAAAATAAATATTGTCTCACACCACTTATATAGAAGGTGAGAAATGGACTTATTCATTCATTGATTCATTTCATGCTTTGATTCATTCATTCACAATCTCTTTCCCTCTTCTAATAGACTCAAAGTACAAAGAGAGAAAGCAAAATAGAGAAATAAAAGTATATAATTACATATAGTCAAATTAATCAATTATTCTTTCCTTCTTCAAAGAAGATATCGGTCTTCACTAATGGACTTCGATCTTTGTAGAATAAGAAAACTTTCTCAATCAATTTCAAGTATTACCTTATTCCTTTTTGGGATCTTCAATCAAACTTATTATTATCTCTTTCCTTTTGTTTGACTTTCTTTTTCTTCTTCTTGGACAATCTTGGTAACTAATATAGGATTGACGTTGTCATGACAATTTTGACATTTGTAAAAGGCATCCTAAAATCAAGATAGTCTGGTATTAGTTTAGATAGATCTCAAATAGACTATCTAAAAGATAGTCTAGATATTAGTTTAGATAGATCTCAAATGATACAATCTCTTGTACAGTTCTCAAATGATACAATAAATGAAGCCTAGTTCTATAAGTATATAGAAAAGCTTGTGAGACAAGCTGAGGAAAGGAAATCTGTTCATTGAGGAATTATCTATCAGCCACTAAATTCACATGTTCATTACTAGATCACAAAGTCATGTTGTGTAGCAAAAGGTAGCTGTGGTATAGTAGTTATATTTGTTCCCCTCCACCATAAGGTTGGATGTAGTAGATTTGATATATTGCATTATTATTAACTGGCAATGACAAACCACTTATGGTGTATTCACATTCTCAGCAGATCCCCTTTCTATTACTGAAGAAATCAAAAACCGGATGTGGATAAAGATAAAGGTGAACAGAGAGCACTTGAATTGCAGCAAAAGAAAGATAAATGAGAAAAGTTGAATGATAACTTTACCTGTAGCTGCACTGTTGGTGTGCTTCCGCGATATCAAATTGGGCACGATCCTACCAAGTCCAGTTGACAGTACCTAGAGCAACAGGCAATTGCGATATGCAACATTCAAAAACGCACAAGGCTTCAGAAGCGTGATTTACACTAGATAAAATATATCAAAGAGGAAGTGCAGAAGACCAAGAATCTCAACAAGAAGGAAGCCGCAAAGGAGGCACTCACCGTCATCACAAAAAGGGCGGCGAGTGCACCGGACAGGACAATTGATTTCGGATGGCGCATCGCCATAAGAGCAGCAATTATAAAGGTCTCATCTCCGATCTAGCAGGAACAGATGATCACAACAACATGACGACTGACATTAGTACAGACATCGATTCAAGACCGGAACTCGTTAAAATCATCACACCTCGCTGACGATAATCATGGAAAAGCTAGCGAAGAAGGCATCAAAGAGGCCCAGCCCCGTTTGGTCCAACGAAACGACGCCCTCCCAGCTCGCATCTTCATCTTTCCGGAACGGGCGAAGCAACATCTGCAGCAGAACAAAACCCCCCATTTCATCAGGAGACGCAGACAAAACAAAATCACCTACAACGCCAAAGATCCGCTCACTTTCGTGCGCCGATCCAAAGATTTAGGCAAGACGGCCGATGCGTTCTCGCCATTATCCGTCTCCGACTCCTGAAACATAAGCAAAATCGACAAAACTACCTTAAAGATCCCGCATCACGATCAGCCAAACAAGAAAAGGGATCAAGAGATTACCTGCGCCAAGGCTAGAGATGAATTAGAGGCAAGCAGGATGAGGAGGAACAGAGCAATCGAAGAGAGACGACCATATCTAGGGCACCTGCGGGAGCGATCCATCGGGACTGGAGCTGAAACCCTAGATTCAGATCCAAAGCCTGCGGTATGGAGAAGAAGAGATATAGGGAAGGGGGGGGATTTGAAGAACTCGCGTGGATCTATACCAATGGCTTAGCTCATACGATTAATATGAGTGCTCTGCTCTTTTATACGGGCTAATTAGTAATTACATATGTTTCATCTCAATCATTATAAATAAGTAAATAAATATTGTACTTTTATAAATATAAAAATCTCAATATAATTTTAAAAAATATAAGAATTAATTTTTGCAATTGCCAATGGCAGGAAAAATTATTATTATTATTATTATGAAAAAAAAAGATATTTGTATATCTAATTATTTATAGTACATATTAATTCCTCTTTGTGTTTAAAATAATGAAGGAATGAGGAAATAATGAAGTAGACCAAAACTTTGACATTTTAATTATTTGTGTTCAGTAAAATCCATTCAATTAGTTTATTATGTCATATTTTTTATGATTCGAGATCTATAGATGATCAATTATAATACTATTTTTTTATCATTGAATTTTACATCAGATAATAAATATTATGATTATTAGTCTTGTAATAATCATTGTTAAGACTATAGCCGACATAATATAAAAGCTGGTTCAAAAGTCAAAAGTGTGACTTGAGAACTAACCACGAATTAACTTTTAGGTCAGAAACACGGAGTGAGATCCAATTTTGACTTGTGGAAGTTTGTCGTGTAATGGAAGGGTTGGGAGATTGCAGGCGAGTCTCCACCATTTGAGATCATCTGCACGTGGGGACTGATAAATGCAGAGGAAAGCACGACTAAATTGGATAGATGGTGAGAGTGATCAAACCTGTTCATGATCAATTGGACATGAGATTGAGTCAAGCTCATGTCCAACTGACTGATAAATGTATACAGAGACAGATAAATGTTCAATTAGTCAACTGATTGAATTGTGTTCATGCAGTCATAATAACTCACTGTAAGGGAATCAGAATGCTGAATGAACTTTGAAACATGTACTTCTCTGTGAAAACATAGTACTAAAACCATGGCAAATAATACACACACTGATGACCTTATTCCATTTTTGAGAGTCGATGTCACATGGCTGGCATTGTGTTGCAAGAGTTTTAAAGAGAGCTCAGACTCTTAAGAGTCAACCTTGATTTGATGAGCTTGTCAATCATGCAATTGAAAACAATTTCAGCTACATTGGTTTGGGAATCAGTTCTCTGACAAGTCTGATTAATTGTCTGGTCTTCTTCCAGAAGAAAAAGTCAGCTATACAAGTAGAATCATGCGACAAAAATATACTGAACAATGAAAAAAGATACAGACCATACATCACTTGTTACAAGATGAAAAGAATTGAAGCTTTCTCTCTCCAGATCAAGTTGTTGACAGCGAATACACATAGGTAGATGAAGTCCCTTGTACTAAATTGGGACGGTAGAAGTTGCATTCTTCGTCAGTCAACCGATGTTTATGGCATGTCAAAATCCAGAACAAAGATATAGAGAATACAGAGTATGTCCCAAGCATGGATCAGGGACTGTCATCTTCCTCAGGCTTTCTTGATGTTCTTTTCAGGAAAGAGTTGCACAGGAGTTTCAGTGGGACGATCTGATTTGATGGAGTAATTTGATGCTGAAACTTGATCGATCAATGACCGAAGCAAGGATGAATTACTTGTTTGAATTTCTAGGAGTCACTCAGGGCTATTGTTTCCATGGGAGTACTTTCTCCCATGTCCATTGTCTTGTGGAGAAGGAAAGTACCAGAGAGTATTGTAACGAACCCACATATCTCAGTGACTATCTGGGAAGCATTCTGGGAGGCCCAATCCTGGTTCATAACTAGCTAAGTTAGCAATAACTCTGAGACAAACAGTTATTGCTGAAGAAACTGAAAATTAAACTGAAAAATGGAGTTAAATCAGAAGGTTCAACAAAAGTAAGATTCATTGACAATCAAACATAAAAGGAAGACAACAAAAAAAACACCTTAAACATGATCATGCTAGCCAATATGGTGAGAGTAGTGAACATCACATAGTAGACTGGGGATATCACAGCAGTATTGAAGGTGTCGAGTGCCTGCATGGATGAATCCAACAATTGCAATAAGCATAGCTGAAACTGTTTGTAGAAAAGATACTTGATAGTATTAGAAAAACTAATCCATTCATTGATTACTGCACCACAATGAACATGCCATACTTATTTTGATTTGATAAACTCTATTAACATGCAAATTTTGTATCCTTCAGAAAATAAATAAGATAGATGGAGAAAGAAAGGGAAAAGGAAGAGAGAGAGAGAGAGAGAGAGAGAAAGAGAGAGAGAGAGAGAGAGAGCAAAGTTAAGAATCCTTTGTAGGTAACACACTAAATTTATGCAAATCCTTCGTAATATTCCTGGATAGAATATCAACCTTTTTGTAAATGGTAAATCATTCATGTCATATGGACTCCATGAATCACTAGATGAAAACAAAAAATGGATGCATTAAGCCACAAGCTCTATACTATATGGTGCCATCCAAGCATGTAGGTGAAATATCGATGATGATCCCAACCAATTTATCTTACTGTTGGCAAATGATGGAATGAATTCCTCCATAGAATTTTTCTGCACTGCATAATGTGTATATTCATTATTCTAAAATCAATTGTGTATATTACTTGTTTGCAAAACCATTCATAGCGTATTAATTTTTCGTTATAATTCACCATATGACAACAGCAAAGGTTGTATGGCGAAGTATGTAGGACGAACGCTTCAAATTTGTTATGTTTCTGTAGCAATGTATTCTTCATGTGGTTATTTTAGCTTAAGACAACCTTTTTTCTTGAAATCCCTGCACACTGAATATGAGTACCAGATAAATTAGTAAATGCTATTGTCAAGCAAGTTTCTGTATTAGCATATGCATGCCCCACAAAATCAGGGTTACCTTGTTCAGATAATTCATCTGCATGAGACAACAGATTGCTACAACAACTGTAAAAAACCAGGTCTGAGCATAGACAAATTGATTCATTCCCGATAATGTTAGCTTTAACGCAATGCCCACTGCTTTTACACTCATAACCTGCACCAACAACCTAGTGAGCATTTCAGCGATGAAAGCACAAATGCACATCCGTAGTTTTAACAAACACTGAACACACCGTCAGGGAACCCATGAGTGAGCAAATTCCAACATATACCACCAAATTTGTTTGCCCATAACGTGGAACTAGGTGGACGATGAGAAAAACAACCAAGATCATGACCACACAGAAATAAACGATAAACCCTGTTGGAGAGAAAACAGTTCGTTAGTCGACTAAAGGCTGAAGGTTCTGAGTCTGAAAACATGAAAAGTTTGTTTTTACAAATTCAGCGTATAAAGAAAGGTCTAAGTGGAACATACATAAGTAACACATGCTTAAACAAACCCAAAGGAGTTTAACCTCAGCACAGGAATCAATATTGGACATGAAAAAATTAAGCAAACACACATGACAAGACAACTAGAATATTTAAGACTGGAGTTACCTGGTTCAGTGGCAAGGTACCAAACTTCCTTAACTGATTCAATATCTTTCTCTATTGGAGCATGCAAAACAATACTAACAGAACCAACCACACAAAGAACACACCCAAGGATGCCAAATATATGCAGTTTCTCGTTTAAAAAGAAATGAGCTAGCACTGCACTGCATCAAATAACTCATATTAGTGACACACTTTAGATTGATCTTTTAGAACTTACTAAACCTGAGAGTAGTGCCATGTTTACCATACCTGACAATTATACTCAGTGCTCCTAAAGGAGTTACAAGAATTGCCGGAGCAAATGCATAGGCAGCAAAGTTAGCTGCCTCACCAAGTATCACTGTAGACAATAAAACATATACATAAATAAATAACCAAAGTTGAGAGGATAGATCTGGGACAGTAATATCCTCTGCATAAAATCAAAATTTTATGGTCAATTAGAAGACAAAATATACATGAACTTGAATCTGGGAGCTTGCTTGCACAAGAGATTAACTTGAAGCTTTTCTTTATGTATGCCAAGTGCATGACCTATGTCAATCGACGCCAAACAGCACAATACCATGCAACAAGTCAGCTTGCTATGAAATCTAAAATATTTCTAAAAGTTCTTTGTTCTATATCACAAATTATGTTAGCTATCGGTTACCCCATCTGTTCTAGCCTATATCAGCCCTGAACCAATCGATTCAGCCCTACCTAAGTGATACTTCCTTTAGGCAGAAATGATGACACTCTTACTAACCACCAAAGTAGAGCCATTATCTGCAGGGTCTGCATCCTTCAATGAAACATTCCAGGTTCCTAGGATGCATTACACGGTTTTAGCCGTTGGGCTTCACACGGAAAAAGTTTTCGCTACGTTAATAAATTTTGAGAGAAAAATCATCTTTGTAAATGACAAAATCCACAATAATGTCTCCCCTGATTTTAAATGAGCCTAATACTAGCTAACCTATTCACATCTGCTCATATATTTGTAGCAATAACAATGCCAAAACTATTTTCTTAGAAAATTGAAAAAAAAAAAAAAGGTGCCTAAAACTCAGAAACCATCACCAAACAACCCAAACTCCTGGCTCATAAATTCAGTTTTCCATGCCAAGTACTTGTTTCAACACCGAACATTCAGGACTCCAATTATGATCACAAGTCTCATACCAACAAGTTGACCAGGTGAATAACTACAGAAAAAAAAAAAGGCGAATATGTGCATGTCTTCACAGCTCTCTAGAAGGTGCTTTTGTTCGCAAGAAATAAACCAGGAAATTGAAAGTATGTTCCATGATGACATGATATGTCTCCAATAGATATGGATCACGTCTAAGAACACTAGGATATTCTTACAGATATCAAATCCAAACATTGAACTTACTAGTAAGCATCCCAACCCACCAGAGAGGCTCGTACAAGTATGAGAACCCTCCCGAACCTGAAATGTTGAAAGGAAAACATCATTTACTCAATCACTTCTTCATATCCGCAACAAAACGAACTTTAATCCAATATAGAACTTCATGCCTCCTCGATAGTGAATTATGATTCCATAAGGCACAAACCATCATTCCTGGTATGTGATCGTAATTAACTACGTCTCGGATCGACCTTCGTGATCAGATCAATAGTAACGAAATGGAAACGAAAGAGAAGAAAAACCAAGAAAGACCAGACCTGCTCTGACGCCATGCGCCCCGGCCCTTTTGAGCCCTTTCTTCTTCACGATGAAGCTTGACCCGATGAAAAGACTCGACGATAGGGCCAGCACGAGACCCCGAATGTTGTCCACCGAGACTCCCATCGTTGAACACACAAATCGTCCAAGCTAGATCCCTGAATCCAAAAAAGTGAACCCCAACATAAAAGCCGACACTCAACAAACGCCATTTTTCCTATAAATGAATGAAAAGAGAGCTACGACGCCGGATTCTTCGACCGGAACCGCGAGCAACACCCACCAAAACGATCAGAGCGGCGACGGAGGATCGACGGATGGGAGGAAGCTCATGGAGGGGGGGGCGGGAGGCGACGCAACAGCTTCTTTCGGCGTTGCCTCCTCCAACGAGGGGGCCGCTTCCGCCTTTTGAGCTCTCTCCCCGATTCCCTCGCTATTACTCGTTCGAGTTGTCCGTGTGAGTCTCCCACACGGGGGGCGAACCTAGACATGATCGAATCGTGTTCGTTGGATTCGGGATCGACGCTACATGATGCATCAAACCCTTCTTTGGTTGTTTTGGAAGAAACTATATGGAATATGATTCCGGTGATATATATTTAGGGATATAATTACAACATTAATCATGGTAGCATGTAAGTAAATTTAATACATAGAGGCTTAATTATATATATATATATCATAATTTTTTTCATCATCATAATAATTAAATATTGAGAGTGAGATAATTGATCTATTAGACCTTCCATACTCGAATTTTCTATCATGCTCTTCTAATATTAGACTTTGATATCGATTATTAGAACGAAATAACTAACTTATTAATCTTAGTAAAATGAGCTCAAACTACTAACTTAAAATATTTAAGTTAATATTAATAATAATGCATCAATCAAATTAATCATCATCTTATCTCAGAAATTTCTGACGTGGAACTAATCATGGTGTTAAGCGAAATCAATCGACATCATAAAGCCAATTTACCTAACGGTTTGATGACAAATATAACAAACCATGTGTTGTTTCACTTTTAATGCCCAAATTGTAGAATTATTGTATATTTTAAATTATTTAATAAATATTTATTTTATTTTATTTTATCTCAACCTTTATCTTTAATAATTAAAGTGTTTTACCGACTAGAGTGGTTATATCCTAAAGAAAATTACCTGATGAAGTATTATTATACTTTCAACTCTAGTTAGGTAAGTCTACTATACACTATCATTAAACCAATCATTAAGGTAATGATATGACATGCCTAAAGAAAGCCATTTGCTTGCAATAAGGCCAAATCATTCACTCTATACAAATCCTATGGCCATTTATTTTGTGATCTAACATAGTAACTGTAGATCACCTTTGAGCACACTAACCGTAATTCTATAAACAAGTGTGCTTCCCATGCATTAATGGAACAGCAACTAAAGGTCAAAGCTGGAGGTGGCACATCGAAATAATTGTCCGTGCAGTACTTATTAGGTGAGTACTCAACATAACTGGTGACGATTCTAATCGATCTCAAATAACAAGAAGTCTTTGTCCATGTATTATTATTATCTTTCGGTAGGTAGTTCACTAATGATTTGATTTCATGGACAAACCACATGAGATTTGCCTTTGTAAATATATTTTAATATTAAATATATTTATCTGGGCAATCAAGTTCTTAGGATTATATTAAATAAAAATATTTTTTTATTAAAGTAGAATTTGAGTTTAGTATTTAAAAAAATATTATTTTTTTATCAACTAAATTAGTTGACGCCTTTAAATAGAAATGGAGGAAGAAAAAAAGGATAATTATTTTATTGTGCCTAAATATTTTGATCCGCTGGCCCACAAGAGTTACTGGAACCACAGGAAGGTCAGGAAACAGAAGCAGAAGTCAGTGACAGGTGGTCACGTTTGCGGGTGGAGTATCCATCCGTCGCCCCTCGTGATTGCCGTTGCCCACGGCTACCAGTCTCCAAGTGACACACAGATCTATATAGGTCTCCCGTGCCACCATCGCTCCCACAAGACAGGGTTGATTCCACCTTCCACCATGGCGACGGTCTTCCTGCGCGAGCTCTTTCTATGCGTCGCGCTCTTTTATGCTCTTCGGTACGTGGTTCGGCGTCTCCTCCCTCGTCGTGCTCTACCACCGGGGCCGCGAGGGTTCCCCGTCGTCGGTGCGCTCCCGCTGCTGGGAAGCACGCCGCACGTCGCGTTGGCCCGCATGGCCAAGCGGTACGGCCCGGTCATGCACCTCAAAATGGGGCAGTTCGGCGTGGTCGTGGCTTCTACTCCGAGTGCGGCTCGCGTCTTCCTCAAGACCCTCGATACCTACTTCTCCAACCGCCCCGTCGACGCCGCCCCCATCAGGCTCGCCTACGAGGGCCAGGACCTTGTTTTTGCGGAATACGGCCCCAAGTGGAAGCTGCTGCGCAAACTGTGCAACCTGGAGATGCTCGGCAACAAGGCGCTCGACGCATGGAGCGGCGTGCGGCGCGACGAGGTCGGCCACATGCTGCGGTCCATGAAAGCGTCGGGACGTAAGCGGGAGAGGGTGATGCTGGGGGAGATGCTCATTTACACCATGGCGAACATGATCGGGCGGGTGATACTGAGTCGCCGGGTGTTCGAGACGAAGGACACGCAGGCGAACGAGTTCAAGGACATGGTGGTGGAGCTCATGACTTTGGCGGGGCAGGTGAACATCGGCGACTTCATCCCGGCGGTGGCGTGGATGGACCTGCAGGGGTTGGAGCGACGGATGAAGAAGCTTCACAACAAGTTCGATTCGGTGCTCAGTAGGATGGTGGCCGAGCACGAGGCGACCAAAAGCGACCGTGAAGGGAGACCCGATTTGCTGGACACCGTGCTGACCAACCGGGACGGTTCGGACGAGGTGAAGCTGACGAACGATAACATCAAGGCCCTGCTTTTGGTAACGAAACCTTTCTGCTCCTCGTCCACAAAAGCGCTTCTTTGACACGGCATCACGATGTGGTTTTCCTGGTTGCAGAATCTGTTCACTGCAGGAACGGACACCTCGACAGGGACGATCGAATGGGCGATGGCGGAGATGCTACTGAACCCGAGCATCCTCAAGCGGGCGCAAGCGGAGATGGACAGAGTCATCGGCCGGGACCGGCGACTGGAGGAATCCGACATACCAAACCTCCCGTACCTGCAAGCCATATGCAAGGAATCGTTCCGGAAGCACCCGTCCACCCCTCTCAACCTGCCGCGCATCTCGACCCAGGCGTGCGAGGTCAACGGCTACTACATCCCCAAGAACACCAAGCTGTTGGTCAACATATGGGCGATCGGGAGGGACCCGGACGTGTGGGAAAACCCGCTGGAGTTCAATCCCGACCGGTTCATGACGGCGGAGGGATCCAAGATGGACCCGCGCGGCAACGACTTCGAGCTCATCCCCTTCGGCGCCGGGCGAAGGATCTGCGCCGGCGTGCGCATGGGGGTCGTGCTCGTCCAGTATATGTTGGGTTCTTTGATCCACGCCTTCAACTGGAATCTGCCGGAAGGGGAGAACCTCGATATGGGCGAGACGTTTGGGATCGCGTTGCAGAAGACCGTGCCGGTGGCGGCCATGGTGAGCCCTCGATTGGCAGCGAGCATCTACGAGTAATCGACGACGTGTGGAGATGATCAGAACAGTGGATGAGTCCGTCACCTTTAAGAATAAGGTTGGAAGATAGTGGTCGATCGGGTGTGTAAGACTAGTCTGTTGCGACACTGCGTCGAATTTACCATATGAAATCTATAAGATTTGAAGGCATCTTTTCTTCTATGTTATGATGTTTTATGATACCTATGATATAATTTTGATGTATGAGAAAATTCGAGCTCATTATATTTTATGATACATGTTAGTGTAAACAACTTTATGCCGTGGCCTCGGGGCCGACGCGACTTGGTCGGGGTCCGAATGACGGGGATCTGGTACGGCGTCCCACGAGATTGCCCAGGTGGTCGGTTAAGGTGATTCGATCGGGACGATGCGTCGGGAGGGAAGCTTTTCCATAGCGTCGGGAAGATGCAACCCCGCCCTTGCATCTGCACACAGGTCGGGTCGGAAGCTCGACCCGACCCCTCCGACGATCAAGTTAGACGATGCGGAGTGGAGTTTTTTGTCTGTGTTTTTTTTCCCCCTCATCGTTTAGAACTCGGGGGTATTTATAGGAGAGTTTACTGTTTCCTGATGTGCCCGTTTATAGGGGGCAGGCCCGTTTATAGGGGGCAGGGTATGGGCACGCTTCTGTCGTCGTCCTTCTCTTTCTCGGCCAGGCATGTTAGGTCGGAAGACGACGAAGTCGTTGTCTGAGAGCGAGTGACGTCGGCGCATGTCGCGTCGACATTATTGCCTTTTTTGGGCTGAGGGTCGTTCAGTCATGGCTGACGTCGTGGCATGTCATGTCGCCATTATTACCCTCATCAATATGCATGGTATAAGTTTGATTGGGCTACGCGTTATCTCATACTGGTCCATAATGAACTTACACCAAAGCCAACCCGGATCCGATCAACAAGATCCAACAACGGCGCGCAAATTGATGCATTGCATTGGAGCGACAGCGTGGCTTCAGTGAGCCCCGCTCAGCGTCGGCGGGCGAAAGGTGGGCTTTCCTTGTCAGCCACTCTCCTGTGGCCTCGTCGACGGTCACCTCATTTCGCACCACGAATTCCCTTTTGCCCACCCAACCCATCAAAGCAGCCGACGCCAATATCTCATTCCCTTGTCCGGCGAGGCCACCATGCCTGGGATTCCCGCTGCTGCTGCTGCCACCCTCTCCACCCCCGCCGATCTGTTCTCTTTCGACGATGATGACGGCTTTGGCGACTTCATATTCGCCTCCTCCGACCAACCTCTCCCACTCCATCGGCAGCAGGACGATGACGACTGGGGCGAATTTGTCGTCGGCCCGCTCGGATCCCAGCGTTTCGAATCCCCAGCTACGCCGCCCCCCTTCGATGCCTTCCCTTCCCATTCCGCCGCCGTCGTCGTCGACGAGATCGTGGGTGTCAAGGAATGGGAGAAACCCAGAGGGGCGCTGCCGCTGTCGATTTTCGGGGAGGAGGAGGAGGAGGTGAACGAACCGCAGCCCCTCCAGCCGCTGGACCTCTGCCCTCCTTCTTTGTCTTCTTCGAGTCCGGCCACAGATCACAAGGGACCGGTTGGTGGCGGAGAGCTGAGGGATCTGATCACCAGTCTCTATGGCCATGCCCCCCAACCGGTTGGCGTTGACAGGATCGGCTCTCGTTTGGCTGAGGGAAAGGAGGACGATACCGGCGAGAGCTCTTGGGAATACAAGGACGCCTCTTCCTCGTCGCCCAATTCGGTGCTCAAGTTGATGATGGTATTGATAATGATGATGCATTTTTGTATGGTGGTCGCATGGTTCAACATCGATTTTTCTTCGGAGCTGATTGATCAATTTTCACCGCTCTTTGTATAATTGTATCAGGAAGACGGTATACGAGAGGAGAAATCTGGGCCTCGTGGCGTTGCAGCTGTGGGTGAAGTCGAGGTGAGAAGAAGCAGCTTCTTCATGTTGCCCGCTGTATTGTTTTCTGTTCTCGCATTTTAGCTGCATCTCCAACTAGCATTAGAATATGGACATTCTCTACGAAGAATATATCTGTCATATTTGCTCTCCTATTTAAAAGTAAGTAATTGCATTCTTATTCGGAGCTTTTGTGATGTATATTTGTCATATGACACTTATGCTGTGTGAAGGTTCTTCGAATTGGGTCACAAGGTCATCAAGAGGCAAATGGTTGGATCAGTGTTGGTAGTGATGGACAAGATGTTAGTAATGGTGGTACAGATGGAGCAGGCTTTCTTTCTGATGCTAGTTTTCCTATGGTTGTTCATGATAGAATAAGAAATGCCCAAAACACAGATGACTGGTTTTCCGGCCCAGAGAATGGCGAGAAAAGAGGTGAAGAGGAGTTTTGGAAGTTTGGTGATACTGTTATGGAGAACAAAGTCGTATCAACTTTGGGACAAAAGGTTGTGTTTCTCCTATTCCTCTAGCATTGACATCAGTAGTTGGTATAATTTGTTTATCTAATAGATGAAGTCTTCTAATCTTTTCCCAGAGCCATGAAGAACCAATGATTCAAGATGCTGAGACAAAGATGCTGGGTCCCAGCACTGAAACTGAGGTTGGCATGTGATTTTTTGCTATGCTAACACCTTTTCTGTTCCCCCTCTCCCTTTTAACCCCATTTCTGCTGTCCTCAGTACAACTATTTTGTTTTTTTTATGGCCTGTCCTATTAATATCTTAGACTTTTGTTACATTGAAAAAATATAATTTGTTTGGTAAACCATAAGTGACTTAGTAATAATTTGTGTATTTTGAAACAACATTCTTTTGAGTATTGTTCATTATCAATATGGCCTTATCTCCCTTGTCTCAAATAAATTTTTGGGCCAAATACTCCATGACTGGCTTCCTTCGTGTTGAAATAATTTTGTTAAGTTCATATCTGCTTTACATGATAGTATTTAAAATTCACTGAATCTAATAAACATCATTGAACTTTGACACAATGGTGTGTCATCCTGTGTCTGCATTTTTCTGAATCAGGTTCATAGAGTCAGAATGGGTGGAACACGGCCCTTGTACCAGTTAATGCAGAAGGGGTTTGCCTCACTCAGATAGAAACACTTCTGCATATCTGACTTTACTGTTCATCTGAGCTTAAATATGTGTCATCAAACCCCTTTCAGTCAGTTGAGGATCAAATACTGTAATGTTTCAGATAATTGTTTTGGTTTCCTAGAATGGTTCTGTACCATTTACTTAAAACACGCAATTTAAATGCCCCCTGAATAGATTAACTACTACAGCTGATTAATAGTTGCATAGACCTGCTGGTACTGGATACCACTAAGCATTCTGAGTTGGAATTATGACTCCTAAATTAAGACGAACAATTGATAACTTGATCTAGACAAACCATGACTAGTGCAAACTTAAACTTCGCCCACTATATTTTATCAACATTATAATCATTACCCTAGTTGTTTATATCATATAAGAAAGCATAAATTTTAGTTAATTGTTAAAAAAAATGTGATTTAGGGGAATTATTCTGTGGATTTATATCTGATAAGTCCTCTCTCTTTTCTTTTATAATTTGCAGGCTACCAGAAGCGTGTTGAAAAGTAACCTAGTTGACTGGCCTGTTCATTCTTGCAGCAATTTTAAAAAAGAAGCTGATCTAGGACTCAATGACCTGAATGGGTATTTTTGTGAGCCAATGTTTGTGGGGAGTTCAACTAAAGATATAACTTTTACCTCATCCGATAGGCTTACTAACAACACACTGGAAATGTTCATTGAGGTTGATCAGGACGATGCTGTTTGTGCTGCAAATGATGCCACAAAGAAGCATCAAAACTCAGATATGGTCAGCTCAGTGCAGAGAGATTATCATCTTGGTAGAACTCAATGCGAGTTCTTAAAAACTTCAGAAGTAGTGGTCAGGAATCAGGATTCTGCATGTGAAATAGATAAAAATGATTCAACTAATTTGACACACATCTCTCTTGTAGCTCTTTATTGTAGATTGAAAGATGGATCTGCTTCCTTATTAAATTGCCATCTTGATGATCTCAAGGTTAGTGCCATAAAACTATATATGCTTGCTTCTTGCTATGTTCATTAATTTTGTTAAGTAAAAATGCCTTTAATTTCAGAATGCATATGAAGTTGCTTCTCTTTCTGGTGAAGAAGTTAAAGAAAAAGAAATATATGAAGAAATTAAGGTGAGTGCCATGAGTTAATCTATAATCTGTGATTTCTTTATGTTGAAAAATTTTACATTTCATTAACTTAATAAGTCAGTTGCCTTGAAATTTTTATCTTATTAACTTACTTTTGGAGTCATAATATTAAGTAAATTATTATATATGAAGTATATTGTCATCTTCAAGTTATATTAACAATAGGACAAATCTGTAGTTGCTTCTACATTAACCAGTTGTTTTGATGCCCTTAGCTCACTTTCTAATATGTTTCTTATAGCACAAATTACTCCTCAGTCTTCATCTCTTATGCTAAAGATATATGGCCCTTCTTAATAATATGGTATTATGAACAAGGTTTGCAATAACACTCGGTGCAGTTCGTATGGTACGGGCAGGCAGTATTTACAGTTTATTGATATGTGAACCAGGGTAAACAGCATGCCTGGTATAGGGTTTGCATCACCTGGTATGGGAAAGTACAGGCCCTTAATGGGCACGGAAATTGACACCGATATGTGGGCATGATGTGATGCGGAACCATTAAACAGCGATACTGAAAAATTCAGGATATGATATGATCATGAATACAACCAGAAAATATACATTTTCTGAGTACCAATCAAATATTAAGCAATAAAAATTCAAATTATTTAAAAATATATATATATAGTAATTGTAAGTTAATATAGTAATCCAATAATGATCATGGCTCAAGCTAAGTCATGAAACATACTAAGAAGCAAGGTCTGTCGAAGCGTACCGCCCGTACCGGACGGTATGTACCAGTCCAACAGGTTACCGGTATACGGACCGCCCGGTACCGTTACAGTGCTACAGTGCTATACTGTAGCATTGCTACAGTATGAAAAAAATATAAAATTGTTCGGTACATCAGGGTGTACCGCTCGGTACGCCCTGATGTATCGCCCGGTACACCAGTACCGTACCGTACCGAGCCCGGGTCGAAACGCCGGTACGGTACAGTACGGCGAACCTTGCTAAGAAGTGCTCAATTAGATTAAATTTGTTACACACATCAATATACATAT